AGCAAGAATTCCCCCTGCCCCTCCATGGGGAATGGCTCCACTGCAACCCCTTTCCCTCCATTCTCTTCCCAGGATCTTGAGCATACACAGACATGTGCCAAGTGAGTGTGAGTTTCAAGCCACCAGGTCCAGATCTGGAAATGTAGTCAGCCACATGGGAATTCAGTGACAACCGCTATGCCACCTGCTGATTCCACATCTATAACTTTCTTTCCAGATCTCTTTCCTACTTACTGAGTTGGTTTTTTTTTAATCTTGTTTTTCTTTCCTTTATAAATTTTTCTTTAGAAACAACTTTTACCTTTGAATCATCTCAGAGCTTCTTTAGATTTGCTCTGATCTGATAAATTTTCCAATGAGAGGAGGACCTTAATTGAACGTGTCCTGTTGTCTCCTTTACCTCCTGTAAGAGGCAGGGCTTAGGCAGTGGGCTCTTGGGCCTAGAATAAGGTTGCATAGGATCTGGAGTTTTAAAGTCTGGGTATACTGAAGGATGGATTGACAATTTTCCTGTGTTATTTTTTATTTAAAAAGGGGGCTGGAAAGTCTCTGCTGAGAAGCTTCCAAGCTATTTGTGGGCCCCTCTGTCAGTGGTAGCTGACTATAGCCAGGAGGGTTATAGCTCATCTTAGGTTCTGCTAGAAGTAAAGAAACGTTTCTAAATGACTTTGAATACCCCTAGCAAGGAAAGAAGATCTGCAGAGCTGAGCATTCTTTTAATCCTATAATTGCAGGTCTTGGGATCTTCCTGGTTAGTATCTGCTCAAAAGCCAAAGAAACATGTTGAAACCCAGCTGTGTATTTATCAGGATTGTCAGAAAAGCAACCACCCGAGTCAGCTTAATCTGTTTAAGCTCAGTAAGAGAAAAGGGCTTGCAAACACAAATTGGTCAGAATTGTAGGGACTGAGACTGGAGGGGTTGATGGGAGGCATTGAAAGGAGATGAGGTCTGCACTAGGACTGAGGACAACAGCAGACTGCAGTTCAGCAAGGAGGTCCCTCCTGAGTAAGGAGGTAGGGCAGGTGGGCATAACTAAAAAGGAGTGGGTGAAGGGTATAGTTCCAATGAGGCAAGATAGGAAGTCTGTAATGGTTTTGAGACAAGACCATCAATCTCCACAAGAGACAAGAGACTGAGGAGGTATTCAGAGTCCAGCATGACTAAGTAAGATTGAGTAGGTAGCCCCCGTATCTAATAGGAAAGAGATCTGTTCATCTGCCTCCACAATGTTTACCTTAGGTTCAGCCTTGGTTGGTTAAGGCAGGGGCCTCTGACTAACATCCTGGCAGGGAGAATCCTGGCTCTGTTGAGGGCTTTGGAAGGGCACCCTCCAAGCATTGAGCCTTGGGGACAGTCCATCTTCCAATATCCCCACAACTTACACACTGGTCATGGCCCAAGCAGAGCCCTGGGTTGAGGACAGGTGTTTGCCTAGTGCCCTTCATTGCCATGCCTGAAGCAGGTGAAGGTCATGCTGATGGTTGCTGTGCCATCTTCTTGTAGCTTCCCAGGATGTCAGTGGCAGGTGGTTGGGATTTAGCCTCATCTCTTTTAAGTTTTCATTTGACATTTTCTTCTTCTCTATTGCTAAAGATTTTTTTTCTTTACTTAGCTTTTATTTCATAATTATAAACTTAACTTTGCAATTCAGCTAGATTTGGAGAGGAATAAGGAAAATATTGAACCCAAAGAACTGCAGCGAGAGCACAGGTTACAGAACAAAGCAAACAGAGGGGGTGGAGGGTGCTCTCCTGAGCTACAGAAGGAGTGGTCTAGTGGTTAAGAGAAGTCAAGTTCATTAGAGTTGTCCACAGTCAGCCATAGTGATCTTCTTGTTGGTTTTGCCATTCTTGAACCCAAAGGTGGGGTCATAGGTGAGGTCATAGGTGAGGCAATAGCTAAAGGGCTGAAATTCTATGGAAAGGGATGTGGTCTCTTTTATTTGAGAGCCATTAGAGAGGGTAAAAGACACGTGGACATGAATTGTGCCTTCAGCACTGGCAACTTCCCGAAGAGGCAGAAGAGGTGCAGAGATTTGTCAGGATGAGAGAAATGGGTACTAGGGTGAGTATGGGAAGGGGAGGAAGAAGGAGAAAGGTAGAGATGGATCTCCTATGCAGGGGAAGCAGAAGCCCAAGGAGGAAGATTATAGTGGGTGGAGGGACCTGAGGAGTCTAGTGGGGAAAGAAAGCAGTTCTCGAATGGGAAGAGGGTCTCAGAGAAGTAGAATTTTTTTTAACTTTATTTATTTACTTAATTTGACCAGAGTGAGATAGAGTGAAAGAGAGAGAGAGAGAAAGTGAGGAAGCAAGTCGCCAGATCTGGGAGTCAAACTGTGATCGACCATGTGGGAGTCCAGCACCTTTAACCACCACACCACCTGCCAGCCCCAGGAAGTAATTCAGCTAGATTTGGAGAGGAATAAGGAAAATATTGAACCCAAAGAACTGCAGCGAGAGCACAGGTTACAGAACAAAGCAAACAGAGGGGGTGGAGGGTGCTCTCCTGAGCTACAGAAGGAGTGGTCTAGTGGTTAAGAGAAGTCAAGTTCATTAGAGTTGTCCACAGTCAGCCATAGTGATCTTCTTGTTGGTTTTGCCATTCTTGAACCCAAAGGTGGGGTCATAGGTGAGGTCATAGGTGAGGCAATAGCTAAAGGGCTGAAATTCTATGGAAAGGGATGTGGTCTCTTTTATTTGAGAGCCATTAGAGAGGGTAAAAGACACGTGGACATGAATTGTGCCTTCAGCACTGGCAACTTCCCGAAGAGGCAGAAGAGGTGCAGAGATTTGTCAGGATGAGAGAAATGGGTACTAGGGTGAGTATGGGAAGGGGAGGAAGAAGGAGAAAGGTAGAGATGGATCTCCTATGCAGGGGAAGCAGAAGCCCAAGGAGGAAGATTATAGTGGGTGGAGGGACCTGAGGAGTCTAGTGGGGAAAGAAAGCAGTTCTCGAAT